GGAATTTCAGGCAAAGGCACAAAGCTGGCTTTTATCTCCCTGCTCTTTTTTATTTGTTTATTTTCAATCACTAAAATACAGACTCCTCGAAATAAAATTTAATTGGGATTTTTCAGAATGGACTTGGTTTTAATATCATTACTATGGTTTTTGTTGTTATGGTGGTGCTGGGAATTGAATCCAGAGCCTTGCACATGCTGGCAAGTGCTATACATTTAACTACACCTGCAGGCCCCAAACTTGATTTTGAATTTCAAATGAGTTCAAAATAATGATTTTATAGCATCTAATAATTCTCATCACCACACACCAAGCACTGTCCTAAACACTTAATCAACTCACTCAGTGCTATTTTTGTGTCTCCTTACCATGTTTTAAGTTGCCCAGTGAATGTCTTCATTCCTTCTATCCACAGCACCCAGGACTGTTGTGGCACTAAGTAAGAGCTCAAGCAGAATTTACGTAACAAATGAATCCTGCCATGGGAATACCATGTTATGGAGAATACCTAGAAAATCATTGCATTCTATATTATATTAGTTTCAAGTTCAACAAAAGTTCACAGAAGGGAAATACCAACATGAGCCAAAGATGTATTGGAAGACTTAAGGATGTTACAAGTCTTGAGTTGGAAATAAGAAATCTAAATATGGATTCTTCAACACTACTTCAGCATCTTAGCAGAGAGATTTCCCACTTGGAAGAATAATGGGTGGTGGATGTTGGAGGGAAGGAATTAGGTCCTTGTAAGGGATTTCTTCTGTCCCATCTACCTCCTAACCTCAATACCAACCTTTTTGATTTGGGCTGACATTGTCTATAATCTTAGCATGTTCCACAAAGTGACTATGCCATAAATATTTGTGGAGTGACAGAACTTTGTCATAAAGACAAAACTAAACCCTGAATTATAGACTGACATTCATTAAGAATTCATAGAAAGGAGAAGGATGGGTGTGGTAACCTCTTACTGAAGGATTTCTAGTAGATACAGAGTTCGGCTGGGCTGTGGGACATAAAAACAGGTTCTCCCTCTCCCATGCCCCCTAATGTTTTTCCAAATTGCCAGTTAAAGTGGCCCTAGTCCTCTAGAACAGCTAACACTACAGTGCCATTATTGATGGCTATTCAAATTTTGATACAACTTTAAATTCCTTTTTTTTTCAAGTTTTGCAACTAACCATATTTCAATGTCCAATAGCCACACGTGTCTAGTAGCTGCCATATTGAATACCTCAGATGAAGAATATTTCCATCACCATAGACTGTTCAGTTGAACAACACAGATATAGGGAGTAAATCTACTCTGAACTGCTGAAGGTGCAAGTATGAGAGTGAAAGAGACATATTTAACTGCTTTTCACAGACTAAGCAAAATTCCTCCACCTTCTATACTTTTAGCTATCATACCTAAGTACTTAATTAGCACTTTCCCAGTAACAGTTCCTACACTCTCAGGTTGTAGGATGTGTACATTTTGTTTTTTCCAATCCAGTGGTTTTTAGTACATTCACAAATTTATGTAACTATAACCATTATCTCTACTTACAGAACATTTTCATCACCTCAAAAGGAAACCTTGTTTCCATTAAGCAGTTACTCTCCATTAAGCAGTTACTTTGCCTTTTCCTATCCCTAGCAAATCACTAACTGGCTTTCTGTCTTTATGGATTTACCTATTCTAGACATTTCAGATAAAAGGAATTATATACACATCGTGTCCTTTTGTTTCTGGCTTCTTTTACTTAGCGTAATGCTTTTAAGATTCATCTACGTGGTAGCATGTATCAATCAGAACTTAATTAGTTTTTATGACCGGCATGGTTTGGATGTGAGGTGTCCCCCAAAAGCTCATGTGTGAGGCAATGCAAGAAGGTTCAGAGGAGAAAGGATTGGGTTAAGAGTCTTAACCCAATCAATGATTTAATCCCCCGATGGGAATTAACTGAGTGGTAATTTAAGTGGTAGGGTGTGGCTGGAGGAGGTGGGAATGGAGGCGTGGCTCTGGTGTTTTGTATCTGGAAAGTACAATCTCTCTGTGTTTCTTGATCACCAATGATGTGAGCTGCTTCTCTCTGCCACACTCTCTGCTAGGATGTTCAGCCTCATCTCAGGCCCGGAGAAATGGAGCCAGCCTTTGATGGATTAAGACCTCTGAAACCGTGAGCCCTCAAATAAACTCTTTCTCCTCCACAGTTGTGCTGATCAGGTCCTTTAGTCACAGCAGTGAAAAAGCTGACTAAAACAATGACTGAGTAATATTCCACTATATCAGTCCATGGCTTTTTTTTCTTTGCATTTTTCAGCTATTATGAGTAATTATGTAATAAATATTCATGTACAAGTTTTTGAGTGGGCATATGTTTCCACTTCTCTTGGATATATACCTAGGAGTCAGAATTTCTGGGTTACATGATAACTCTAAGTTTAACTTTTTGAGGAACTGCCAAACAGTTTTGTGAATCAGCTATAGCACCTCATCTTGTGTACATATAAGAAAGATCTCATTTTTCTCTTTTCCTGAATGTGTTTTATATACAGGAACAACCTACTCATAGTATTCATAGTTGGATTGAATAGATGATCACCTACATCAAATGTCCATCTACTCTGGAACAGGTGGACGTCCTGTTGAAGACCAGGATAGGGGTGTAGGCCTAGTCTCCTTAATACCTGTCAGGTCACCTTATTAGTCTGCCAAGAATTTTAGTCTGTAATTCATGTTTACTGAGTACCTGCTGTGTTCCACTTACTAGCCAAGGTGTTGGGGATTCATTGCTAAGTGATACACAGTTCTGTAGTTGAAAAGATGGTCATATAAGAGCAGATCTCTAGAATGCTGTTGCTCAGTGCCTGGGATAGTTAGTGAAGGCCTGAGTTAGGGGTTATCAAAAGAAGAAATGTGATGCAGGAGGCAGAACTAAGAATTTTTTTTAGATAAGGCAGTGGATAGACCTAAATACATGCACCCACACGAACATTCCAGAGGTTTGTCTTGGGAATCCAGATTGTTCTTTCACTCATCATCCTTGGACTGAGCTTAGTGCAATGCAACTGAATTGAGCAGTGAGCCACATCGTTATGGGGCAGTCTCATTCTCTGGCTGAAACAAGCTGTCTGTTCTCCTTTGGAATGATGGCATGATCAATTCAAATGGAACTTCTGCTTTAGCAAAAGCCACAGCAATGAGTCCAGGAGCAATGGCATACACCTGTAATCCCAGCTACTTGGGAGGCTGAGGAAGGAGGATCCACAAGTCCAGGGCAGCCTGGACAACTTAGTAAGACCCTATCTCTAGTAAAAAATAAAAAAGGGCTGGGGATACAAATGTAGAGTGACCCTGGATTCAATCCCCAGTACCATAAAGAAAGAAAAAAAGAAAACCTCACAACTATGAAAAGTTAGCAACTAGAATTATGTATTCCTGGTTTGATGTCTTCTTGTGCTTCTGACACTGGAAGAGGGATGCATGTGGAAGGATTGTCCTCATATGGCCTCCACCTTGTTATTCTCTGGTGTTCCAACAAGGTGAGGCTCAACCCATTGCCTAGTTGGTTAATCTTTTCAATACAAATGAATCAATTGTTTGTTCATTGATATAAACTAGAGAAAATGGAACTCGAGGGTCTTGGGCTGCTCACAGTACATGACTTTTAAGCTCATCCTAAGGTAGAAGACAAGACTTTCAGACTAGGGCAAGCTGGTTTTCACTTGAGTCTTTAAGTGCTTGTCTACCAATCCAAAATTTCCACTGCAAGTTCTATTAGCATAGAATAGAACTAGGAAGAAATACCTGCAGAAAAATTATTTCTTATGCTATGTTATTTACTTCTACTTATTGCCTATAGGTGTTCAGAGGGGATGCCTTTCAGAGTGGCAGAACAAAGGCCTGGTGACATAGCAGTTGGATTTATTTTTTAGAAGGATTCAGTTCAAGTGGGTGAAAATCTTGGGAGGGCTAAAGAATTACAGGGGCAGAGACTGGAAGATGGGAACAATGATCATCCCTCACACTCCCTTTCTGGTCCAGTTGTGCCTCTCCAAACAGTATGGAGTGACTGTTGTCTTTCAGATGAAAATCTCTCTATGCTCATACCTAGAGTCACTTGAATACATGCCTCACAGTACATAAGGACGTCCTTAGAAAGCTGTTTCCTGTATTTCTTTATATATATATATATATATATATATTTTATATATATATATATATATATATATATATACACATACATACATACACACACACCTACATATATTATAATAATATACACTTGGAACGGTTCCTACCAAATAGTATGTACCACGAAAATGTTATAGGTAATTATGATAAATCAGCTTCATTTCTCTAGCTATTAAATTCCTTGTAAATGAAAATCTCACCATCTTGCTCTTTTACTTCTCCCCACAGGACCTATCAGTGTTCTTAATAATTTGTCGACATGGTTAGGACCTTGGACAAGTCGCTTCCCTTTTCCGAGCTCCAGTAGGAATACATAGAGATTGTGTGTAGATTTTAATCCAAGTCCACAAACACTATTTGGCGCCCACTGTTTACAAGCTACTGCCCTGAAACCTACGCCCTATGCACGGTAAAAATTATCAAAAATGAACATGAAGTCAAAGCCTCACGTGGGAATGAGGCCAGGGGACCAATAATACTGGAACCTTGGAAGTCCCCAATCCCCCAGCCTCCCGGGGGTGTGGGTGGTCCTCCAAGGCAATACCATTTGCCCTCCACTTCCATTTTATTCCAAACGACACTTTTCGGTATTTAGCCGCCCTGTTCGGCCCAAAGGGGATAAGAACCGATTTTCAGCGTCCGGACCCGGGCCCCGAGGCGCGGTAGGAAGGTGAGGCGGCAGCGCAGGAGGCTCGCGGAGCAGATCCCAGCGGTGCCGGGTGGGTCCCACCGCCCAGCTCCCGAACTGCCCAATCACGGCGCAGCTTGGGCGCGCGCCCCAACCAATCAGGAGCGGCGGGAGCGGCGCCGGGAGCCGGCGGGCGCCCAGCACGCCCGAGAGTCGGGAGCCGGCGGCTGCGCTGCGGCGAGGAGCAACTGTGGCGAGAGCCTTGCGGCCGGCTGGGTCCCTGGACCCCACTAGCTGGCTCTGCGGCGGCCGCCTGTCAGTCGACGTTCGAGACCCTGCGGACGGCGTCTCAGGTAACTGCCCCTCCCCGCGGCGGGGGCACCGGCGCTCTGGAGAAAGGGGCCCCCGCAGGTGGAGCGGGCAGGGGGCGGCCGGCCGCGAGGTCCTAGCGCCGCAGTGCTGCTCTGCACATCCCGAGTGCCTTCCGAGCCACCGCCAGGCGAGATACTTCCCCGAGGCGCGGGCGTCCGGGAGTGAGAGGGGCTTAGGTGAGTGGGCCTAAGGTGGGCGGGGGCGGGCGTAGGGGCAAGACCCCTGTGACCTCCGCAGCTACACAGCACTTGTTGCCAAGGTGCCTTCCCTGGAGACCCAGGTCGTCCAGGACAGCTTCACTGGCCAGAGTGGGGAGGCGGCAACAGGTGTCCCTGGGCCCGGTGCCTCTTCCCCCAAACCCCCCACCCCAGGCCTGGAATCCCAGCCTTGGCGTTCCGCCTCACCTTCGGGGTGTCGGGAGACAGGACCCCAGCCTGGCCCCTCAGGCACGCTGCCCGCTGGACAGCGCCTAGAGGCCTCCTGGACCCGGGGCTTTGGATGGAGTTTCCTGCGCGGGTTGCCAAGCAATTTGCCGGACACCGCCTCTGGCTGAGATGAAGAGAGTTGGAGATGAGACGTACGTGTGTGTGTGTGTGTGTGTGTGTGTGTGTGTGTGTACGCGCGCTCTGGTTCAACCCCTACTGAAAGGAGCTGCCTGAGGGCTATGAGTGAATCATTAACTATAGTGTTATGCAGCTGCTGGCCCCTGCCCACCTCTCTCTCTTCCTCCCTCTCCTTTTCACTCTTTCCCTCTCCCCTTTATGTCCTGTGTCTCTCGCTCCTAATTGATAAAGTGGCGATACCGATTAAACTTGCTTTGAGGATTATAGGAGCCAATGTCTGAAAAACAGAGCAGAGAGCCAGCACTTAGCATTTACTGAGTGCTTTATTGTATGAAGTGGATGGACGTTTAAAAAGTAAATCAGATGTGTCCAAACTGGCCCAACAACCATTTGGATCTCTGAATAGCTTTCTATACTTGAAAGGGAAAAAAAATTGTTATTATTAGTGTTACTGATGATATCATTTAAAGGTAATATATCCTTTGGAGGAGGATATTAAAAAAAAAAAAAAAACCCTCCTCCATTGTGATGTTGAGACAAATGGCCTCCAACTAGAAACCAAAGCTTTGTAACCCTTGAAAAAATTAGTATGAATATTATATGAAAAAAGAAATCCCTGTAGTTTGTTAAATGCTCATATTTCATTAGTATGGCTGATTAGGGGTGGGATATTTTTAGGTTTTTGTACTTCCTGATGTTCCCATGAACAAATAAGTAGAGTTAAAAAGAGTGAAAGAAAAACAAAAGAAAAGCACCACACAACAAAATGCCAGCATCTCCTAGAAACTTGAAATTGCAGTTGTTACTCTCAGGCATTTAATCCTGCATCTGACCTGGGGGGGGGGGGGGTCTAGTCCAGTCTTTTGCCATGGTTTCATTTTCCTTTCCTTGTTTAATCTGAAGATTAAACATTTGACCCCCTTCATTTTTTAAAAAGCCTAAAATATCAATATGTAGCAGACTTCCTTGGAGTTCTACCCTGTGACAAACCCATAAGGACCATCCTAAAGGTTCTTTAGGGTGGTGGCATTTGCGTCTGCCTGCCTTTTCACACTTTCCTAACCATGCAGCCTGGGACCTGGTTGTAGACAAAATGCTCCATTTCTTGTACAGTGTCATTTCTATGTGTCTTAGAATATATACATCAACTTAGAGAAAGAGAGGCCAGGAGATCAGAAACTCACTTCTAGAGAGATGCAAACTTATAAGTCTCAAATTAATGTAACAGGTTTTTTGTGTTTTTTTTTTTTTCAATTGTTTACTAAGGAGACTTTTACTCTGTTCTGAAAACTCACTGCTGGGGATGGAGAGAGGTATATGGCATAGGACAAGACTGCTAAGTTCAGAGCCAGACCCCACTTGTGAAAATTCAGGCTCTGACTGAGACTGGGAAACTTGAACAAAATGCTTCATTTCTTTGAGCCAAAATCTCCTTGCTCTGTCGAGTGAAGACTCACATTTATTCTTATTTTAGTGGATCCTAAGTATAGTGTTAATAGATGGGAAGCCTAGTTCTGGGGACATAGTTACTGATCTGTAGTATCTAAAGGAGGTCTTAAAAGTGAGAGTAATCAGTTACACCTAGGCAAGATAAAGTCCTGATTGAGAGGTACTGAGTGTCAAATGATGAGCAAGTCTTTTGTGAAACTAGGGCTGCAGTGGGATTGGAAAGGATAGAGTAGAAGAGAGAAGACATCCAGAAAGAGGAATGACCAAAATATCCATGGTCAGCTTAGGCTAAAGAACAAATAACCCCCAAGATCCGCATGTCCACAGTAGGTCAATTGTAGTTCTGTCCTCATCTATTTTTATTTAGGGACCCACTGAGCTTATAAAACAGCCTCTCTCTGGGACAATGCTAATCTCATTGTGGCAAAGTAAAAGAGAGAAAGTGACAGAACAAAACTATGACACTTCAAGTCTGCTCAGAAGTGGCAGCTGTCCCTTCAGCTCTCATGCTGTTGGCCAAGGTCAATCACATGGTCAAGCCCAATGTCAGAGGTATGAGGAAGTGTAAGCTTCCTGCAGATAGCAAAAATGTGACAGAGTATGTGGGAAGGTACAGAAGGAAACAAGGTCAGGGAAGTGGCCCAGCGGCAGATAATGAAGGACTTTGGGTTGTGTGCCAGGGCTTGGGCCTTTCTATGGGCAGGGAGCAGTGACTGAAGGGTTTTAAATTGGGATTTGATAGGGTCAGGTTTTCCCACTGAGCATACATCTCTAGTGGCAATATGGAGAGAAGATTGATATAGGTGAAATGAAAGGGAAGGGATGGTGAAAGTCTGAATGAATATAGTGGCCTTGAATCTCTCACTGTCTTTCTTTATGTTACAGGAAATTCTATTACTAGAAAATTTCCATTTTCACTTGAGTGGCTTATCTTCTTTATAAGTCCTCTCCTAAAAGGTACATGCTCTCAACCTTAAGTTATCTTGAAAATCATTTAAAGCAGCAGTTCTCAGATTTTAGTGTGCATCAGAATCAGGGAAAGTTTGAGAAAAAAAGATTGCTGATCCTGTCGTCTCATCACAGAGTTTCTTCACTGATCAGTTTGGGTGGAGCCTGAGAATTAGCATTTCTGACCAGTGCTTAGGTGATACTGATGCTGCTGGTCCAATGACCACACTTTGAAAACCACTGAAGGTAGAAAATAAGATGTGGTTGAGAGAAAGACCTAAATGGAAGGGTCCCAATGGAAGGAGGAAAAAGGCTGGAAGATTCTAGCATTCTCCCTGTAGCAATTTTGCTCAATGTTGGCTCTGTCCATTAGCAGTGGGGTCTGTAAAAGTGACTGAGTCTCTAGATTTATATTAAATTGCAAATGCAATTCTTCTAGTGAGGAAACAAATGGCAGCAATAACAAAAAAGCTCATATTCAGAGAAGTAAGCAGTATCCAAGTGCTGCTTTGTCCCCTCCCTCTGTAATTCTGCCCAACCTCTCCATCCTGTCATTGAGCACTCACCCTTTAGTCTGGCTCCAGACCTCTCACTCAAGCCTGTCCACATATCTCAATCCCAGTCCCTCATGCTTCTTGTCATCCCAGTCATAATTTCTTCTGGAACTGAGTTGCCCATTGGGTGGACACTTGGCTGACTTTTAATACAGTCCAACCAAGAAATTGCTTGTGTCACTTGAGGTAACCTTTATGAATAAACATCTGTCCTGTGTGGTCATGCAAATTGTAGTCCATCCCCTCCACTCCCTAGACAAATAACTCCCTGTGAACCCAAGATCAACCCATCCCAAATCATTTGGCTTATTCTAATAGGTGGAGCAAGCACAACAATTCTAACTGACTCATCACTCCTACAATGAAAGAGCATTTAAAAAATGGTTGTTAAGGAAGAAATAAGGGGTGTATATGATGCAGGAAATAAAATACAACAAGGGTTTCTTTTTTTTGTTGTTGTTATATTTTTTCTCAATGACGAAAGTTTGAATTCTACCTAGGGCCCAGATAGAAGTAGTGTGTCCATCCAAAAGACAGCATGTGGAGGCATTGAATACTTCCAGGGTCAACACTTAAGTGCTTGCTTGAGGGTTAGAATATTTGTTTCAAGGTGAGATGAGTACAAAATGGTCCATTGGAGTGTAGATAGAAAAACTAGACTCTATGCATATTCATTTTGTCTAAAATAATAAATATCATGGTAGGTTCAAAATGTAAAATGAAATGAGATTTGAGAAGACCCTTGTTCTAATTGAGATTTGACAGGTAAATCACACCTTGAAAGTGTTTTTTTGAAACAGGAGATTTTTCTGTCTCAGGAGGGTTCTGGGTATCTCCAGAGGTGGATGAGAAAGTTTAGAATCAGACTTCTGTCCTGGAGACCTAAGGCCAACTGTTTGCCTCTCCAGGTAATTCTGAAAAGCCATTATCTCTCCTCTTTCAGGCTTGGCCTCTGTAAGCTCTATAAAGAATTGTAGCAGGTTTTTAGAATACTTGGCTTAAAGTTTCAAAATATGCAACAAATAGAACCCTAGACCTAAAAAGAGTGAGAGCAATAAAAGAAACTAGACAAGCTGGGTACAATGGTGCATGCCTATAATCCCAATGATTCAGGAGGCCAAGACAGGAGGATTGCCAGTTTGAGGCCAGCCTCAGCAAATTAGAGAGGCCTTCTGTAACTTAGCAACATCCTGTCTCAAAAAAGAAAATTTAAGGGGCTGAGTCTGTGGCTCAGGGGTAGAACACTTGCCTGGCGTGCATGAGGCACTGGGTTTGATCCTTAGCACCACATAAAAATTAAGTTGTCCACCTACAACTAAAAAATACATATTTAAAAAAAATAAAATTTAAAAGAGGATTAGGGATGTAGCTCAGTGGTAAAGTACTCTTGGGTTAAATCCCTAGTACCCCTCCCCAGAGAGAGAGAGAGAGAGAGAGAGAGAGAGAGAGAGAAACTAGCCAGAAGGGCAGGAGGGTTGCAAGTTTGAGGCCAGCCTTAGCAACTTAAGGAGTCCCTAAGCAACTTTAGTAAGACCCTGTCTGCGAATATAAAATAAAACAACAAAAATGGCTGGTGATGTAGCTCAGTGGTAGAGCACCCCTGGGTTCAATCCCCAGTTTAAAAAAGAAAAAAGAAAAAGAAATTGTCACTGTCTCTAATTC